GGCTATCATTGGCATGTTCTTCCAGGACCCAGTAAACAAACGCCTAGCAGCTCTGTGCAGCTAAGTAGAATAGCAGCAGTCAGCAGTTCCAATCCAACTTTGAGCTTGGCCTGTCAGTTCCGTATAAGGCCACATCATGCTTTGTTGTGATTCAGAACTGTTTGATGTGGGTCGCAAGCAACTGTATCGCACGTTGTTCATGGTCACCGCGCCAAAATAAACCTTGTGCATTGTGAAGGACGGGCTGACGGGCTCCGCGTGGGGTGATTGGGCCAACTACACCGCTTCGCCTCTCCGTGCATTCGAGCAGGAGCTTGGCGCACAGCCACCGCTCGGATTCTGGGATCCAGTCGGGTTCACCAAGGACGGCAGCGCAGAGAACTTCAAGCGTCGCCGTGCTGTGGAAATCAAGCACGGGCGCGTCGCCATGCTCGCCACCATGGGTTATATCACACCCGAGATCGCCGGAAAGTGGGGAGGCATTTGTGCCACGGACCTCAATTTCTCAGACATCCCGAATGGCCTTGCTGCCTTGAAGGTTGTGCCATTTGCAGGCTGGCTTCAGATCTTTGCGTATTGCGGCTTCGTTGAGTTCTCCTCCGGCTTGGGCGAGGATGCATGGGGCAGCAAGAAGGCTGGCGATGTCGGTTGGAAGCCGCCATTCTTCGCCGCAGGCGACGATGAGACCAAGAAGAGGAGGCTCGCAGCAGAGCTTGCCAACGGACGTTTGGCCATGATGGCTATCATTGGCATGTTCTTCCAGGACCCAGTCCAAACAAATGCCTAGCAGCTATGTGCAGCGAAGTACGTAGAGGCTGACTGCATCACTAGACTGTCCCAATGATCCCTTGCCAAAATGGCACTCCCCCTCTCAACCTCGTGCCGCGTGAAGGACGGTTTGACAGGATCCGCGTGGGGTGACTGGGCCAACCAATTTAGAACTAAGCAAAATACCAATGTCCTTTATTATAAAGGAGCCCCAGAATATTATTCTTAGGGCTCCTTATGTATATTATACTATAAAGGAGCCCCAGAATATGATTCTTAGGGTTCCTTATGCATATTAATACTATAAAGGAGCCCTAAACCCTAAACCCTAAACCCTAAACCCTATAAAGGAGCCCTAAACCCTAAACCCTAAACCCTAAACCCTATAAAGGAGCCCCAGACCCTATTCGAATTAAGGTGACTGGGCCAACTACACCGCTTCTCCGCTGCGCGCATTCGAGCGCCGAGAGCTTGAGCAGTAGATAATTTTTTTGATGCTTAGGGTTTAGGGTTTAGGGTTTAGGGTTTAGGGGCCAGAAATAAGTACCAATACTTTCTTGGGGGGGTTCCTTATTCTAACTACAGTATAATATATCCCTAAAACCCTGTGCTACTTATTAAAGGCCCCTACATTAGCATTTTTGCCGTAGTACATCGTTAGAAAAAAGAGCCTTAAAAGCCTGAACCGCCTGAGGCCCCGGAACCCCCACACACCAATATAGGGGTCTAAGTAATCACCTGTAGTAACCCCCAGAAAACTGGAAACCGGATTAAGCCCAAATAGTGCTGGGATTCCCTTTTCATTTGTCTTAAGGATGGAGGCTACTGGGTTGCCAACTTTGGGCTTCTACTGTATACTGTTCTGGGGGGGGCTCCGTATCATTATTATAGTAGAATATACCCCCAAAACCCTATTCTAATTATCGAGGCTCCTATATTACAACCCAGAATGCTCAACTTTTAAAGCGCTCAACCCATGATTCCCTGAAACCCCCAAGACCATGAGGGGTTTGGGTTTAGGACGTCCGGGAGCCCGAAGCGATGGCAGAGAAGGAAAACCCTAAACCCCAAACCCTAAACCCCAAACCCTCAACCCTAAACCCCTAAACCCTTAAACCCTAAACCCCTAAACCCTAAACCCCTAACCCCTGAACCCTGAACCCTAAACCCTAAAAAAAAAAACCTAAAACCTTCGACCCTGTCGAGATGCGATGTTTCACCTAGG